GGGGGGGGGGGGGCATTATCATACCACGGAGGTCCACTGAAACGTTTTACACTTCCAGAAATTTCTCCTCCAAGTATTGCCGAACATGCTCCGTGCTGCTGCAAGACGGGGAGAGGCCATGATATGCCGTACAGCCAAAAGCAGCTAAATACTTCGACATTCAAAAACGGACCGATTAGAACGGCTCGATTCCGCTCCCGTTTGATCCAGCGCATAACAGCAACACCGCAATCTATCTACAGCATCCTCACCACGTCCACGGCTCGTTTCCGCTTCTGGCCGGGCAAAGCCGCCCTTGCCCCACTAAGAACAAGCTTCGTCGCGCCTTCGTCGTCCAAGTCCCCTTCCAGCGCAGCTTCCGGTTTTACCGACACCGCCGCCGCCTCCGCCGGGGTTGGCGGCAATACGGGGGGGGGGGCGGCGTCTTCTTTCTTGACCGCGGGGCCTCCGGTCTTGGGTGCCTGTTGTTGTTTGTTTGTAATGATGGCGGAATCATGTCGTCAGTGGTGTGACAGTCAGCGGTTGGTGGTTGGTGGTTGTGGTTGAGTACACTGGCGAAGGTATACTATCAGAAAAGGTGTGGTTGAGTACACTGGCGAAGGTATACTATCAGAAAAGGTGTGATTGAGTACACTGGCGAAGGTATACTATCAGAAAAGGTGTGGTTGAGTACACTGGCGAAGGTATACTATCAGAAAAGGTGTGATTGAGTACACTGGCGAAGGTATACTATCAGAAAAGGTGTGGTTGAGTACACCGGCGAAGGTATACTATCAGAAAAGGGGAGGCATCGCTGCTGCTGTCGTTGGTTGGAGGTGCTACTTACGGCTGCTGCTCTTCCCTCTACGTTTCTGGGCAATTTCGTCAGGTTTCTTTCATTGCCAGCATCACGTGGTCCTTCAACCCACAACGTCCAGCGTTCGAACAACATGTCATAGCGGACGCCCTCTGGGTGAGTCTAAGCATGCATGTCATTGGATAAGAGGAACGGCGACCATCGCACGTCATACACAGAAGAGAGATGCATGCGTGAATGCCACCGCTACCCCTACTCCAACCCACCCACCACCACAACGCAGACGTCTCCTCCTTTTCTCAACAGTGGGCCCCCTCTCCTCGTCAACACCTCAGCAATTTCTTCACACTTCTACCGTACCGCCCTTTGCAAGCACAGCCCCCAAGCGGCCGTGCCTGCACCCTCTTCGTGCCACACAGCAGCAAGCCACAGCAGTAACCACCCCCCCTTCCTCTCATGCCCAGCAAACCCAATGTCAGGTAACACCAACCCTACCTCCTGAACACCACCACTATCTGCAGGTGCTGCTGTCGCCGCCGCAGCCGTAGCCGCAGCCGCAGCAGCTGCTGCTGCTGCGGCCTCCTTCGCCGCCCTGAGCTGCTCCGGCTTTGGCGCTGCGGCAGCGATTGCGGCGAGACGCTCCTTCTCGGCCCTCCTCCTCCTCTTCCTTTCCGCTGCGGCCGCCTCGCTGCCACCGATCGACTCAAACACGAATCCCGGAAGATCCTGAAAAGAGAAGGAGGGGGGGGGGGGGGG